AGAGAGAGAGAGAGAGAGAGAGAGAGAGAGAGAGAGAGAGAAATGGATAGATAGAAATGGACAGATTGATGACAGATAAATAGGTAGGTAGGTAGGTAGGTAGGTAAGTAAATAGATAATATATTACATTATAATTAAGCCCCAAATAATTCTACTGACTAAAAACTAATTTTACACACTGAGTGGAACTTGCTTCCTATGAAGTATATGTGACCTTGGAGCTTTAGGGAGAAATAAACAGACCTGGGGATGTTCACTGCCCTAGTTTCACACAAGCTAACCCCAGCAGAGAAAAGCTCACCCAACCCAGAACATCATTTTATCTACAGCTTTGCCCAAGCATCCTCACCCATCTCTTTAAGAAGAATCTGACAACACCAAAAGCAGCAGGCCCACAGAAGGCGCGCATCACCCCCTGTGCTGTCCAGCAAATGTATGGCCAAACAACGACTTAAATCAGACATTTGCCTAAGCATGACACAAAGGCAATAAAGGCACAGTTAGGCACAATCAGGAAGGCCATGGAAAGCAGAAAAGACTTCTGTGCAAACAAAGGTCAGTCCAAGACCATCCTCTCATTGAGCCAAACACAGTGAAGTCAGAAGCATCTTTAAAAGGGCACCAAAGGCCAAGAATGGCCAGGAAAGGCACAATGTAGAAAAAGGTCCAACTAACAGAAGTACAATTTGGAACGTTACAATTAGGGTTCATGCAACCCAAAAGATAAACGTGTAAAATGGTTTGCGCTGAAAGTTACCCCATCTTTTTCTTTTAAAGGACCCTATGAATTATTCAGTAGTTCCAAAACTGAACTCTAAACCACCCTAGGATTTGATTCAATTAGAAATTTCTAAGATGTTCCTCCAGGGAAGGATCAATAAACTCAGGCAAGTTTTCCTAAGAAGTAATTTGTTTCCCTTGCTGAGCTTCCTCTGCAACACAGAAAATGCAGAAGTCATTAGAGGGGGTGATGATGACCATTCATATAGGGGCCAGTTTTAATGTAAAAAAAATTGCTTCCTTTTCTCCTGTAATGTTGGTATGGAAAGTAGAGAAAATAATTTTGACAGAGATATGCTAGATCCATTACTAGGGCAAAAAAGGGTGGAACATATTTTAAGTTTAGAAAAGACATGATAACTATCTCTAATAGTTTGTCTTTCCTATAACAGCTGTAGAGAGTATGGGAAATGTCTTTGACAGAAATACAAAAGATCCATCACCAGGGTGATTGGGACGGGTGTGAAAAAGGTTTTAAGTTCACAATGGACAGATATTGGTAGCAGTGCAGACACATTCCTAAATTACTGAACTATAAAGAGAAGGCACAGCACAATCAGACCTGCAGGGTTATGTTATTATAGCCAAAAGTTAATAAAGGTATTTTTTTCCCCTTTCTGTGGAGTTGACTTCTGGATTGAGTCTGCCTAGTGGTGCTGACGTCAATCTTGCAAATCTAATTGTCTTGTACTTTCTTTTCTTACAGTTCAGTGAATTAAAGAGGGGTCTGTCTAAACCGCTTTTGAATATTATGTCTTTTGTGAACATAAAATATGTTTCACCCCTTTTTCCCTTAATAATAAATCTTGCATATCTCTGTCAAGGTTATTTTCCCTACTTTCTATAGCAACATTTCAGATACACTGGTTTATCAGTAAATGCTTGGAATTGTAATTTTGCTTATTTGTGTATCTTGGCACATGAACCAAAGTACCATTTCCAGCATTTCAGTGGACTGAAATAGGAAGCAATCAGCAAAACAGATTATTATTTTAACTTTCCTTCTCCTTCTCTCTTCATCACTAATTCCTTTACATTCAATATTATGTATATAGGTTTCATTAGGGATGAAGCAGAAGGTGAAGAAAGAGAAGGATACACTTTGATTATTCCTATATTCACATTATCTATGTCTACTGTAAGGTAGAATCACCGATAGATCAACCTATTCTGTGAAGATCAGTGGATTAGACATGGTTCTATAGTTTCTGAAATATTTGAAGTTTTCTAAGTAGATATATAAATATTCTTTGGCAGACGTGTTAGTCCCACCATCTTAAAAATGCTAAATTTGAACCTCTCTTGGAAATTCAGCCTGCTCTGTGAGCATTCAAAACATAACATTTATAGTTGATGTTTATTGAAGTGGCCATGACCATTCCTGTATCCTAACAAGA